GGAATATAAATAATAGTGAAAGGGAATAGAGGGGAAAGGAGAAGAAATGGGTAGGAAATATCAGAAAGGGAGACAGAACATGGAAGACCCCTAACTCTGGGAAATGAACTAGGGGTGGTGGAAGGGGAGGAGGGCTGGGGGTGGGAGTGACTGGTTGGTGGGCACTAAGGGGGGCACTTGACGGGATGAGCACTGGGTGTTATTCTGTATGTTGGCAAATTGAACACCAATAAAAAATAAATTTATTATTAAAAAAAAATTTCTCTCCATGGACTCTAACCATGCAAGACCTCTGGGCTGCAGCCACTGTTGTCTGAGGGCTGCTGATGGAGCCATGCAATGTACATACAGACTCTGAAGCCACAGAGCAGAACACAAAGGCTGCAACCCTGACAGGGTAAAAGTAGTAGACAGCCAACACCCTGGAGGATGGTAGGCAGGAGAGGGAGAAAGAATGACCGTGCTGACTTCCTCTTCTTGGGGTGACTTTTCTCTCAATCCAGTCTAAAGTGAGAATAGGCAGCAAAAAATACACAATAATTCCAATATTTCCTGTTATGCAAAATCTTTTTTTTTTTTTTTTAATTTTAGAAGGATCTCAGAGGCACCTGGGTGGCTCATCTGGGGAAGCATCCAACTCTTGGTTTAGGCTCAGGTCATGATCTCAGGGTTGTAAGACTGAGCCCCATGCACTGGGCTCCACACTGGGCACAGAGCTGCTTAGGAGTCTCCCTCCCTCTGCATCTCCTCCTCATGCACTTTGTGCGTGCTTTCTCTCTCAAAAAAGGTAATCTTAGAGGGATCTCTTCAGAACTTATACTGTCTCTCACAGTAGAGAAATGTTTTCTTAAAGATCAGCAATTTCTTCAGATTATACTTCAGATTCACTTCTATAAATTGAGTCAGGTAAAAATGTAGTTCTTTAATTAAAAACAGTATCTAGTATAACTCATGTTGTATTAAAGAATTTCTAGCTAGCAAGTTATTCTTCTATCTGCATATATTCAAAGAAAAGTACCTATGATACAGTTCAATTAATGTTAAAAATGAGGGTATTATGCTGAGTGAAGTAAGTCAATCGGAGAAGGACAAACAGTGTATGTTCTCACTTATTTGGGGAATATGAATAATAGTGAAGGGGAATATAAGGGAAGGGAGAAGAAATGTGTGGGAGATATCAGAAAGGGACACAGAACATAAAGACTTCTAACTCTGGGAAATGAACTAGGGGTGGTGGAAGGGGAGGAGGGCGGGGGGTGGGGGTGAATGGGTGACGGGCACGGAGGGGGACACTTGACGGGATGAGCACTGGGTGTTATTCTGTATGTTGGTAAATTGAACACCAATAAAAATTAATTTATAAAAAAAAAAAAAATGTTAAAAATGGCTAATTTGGGGAGGCAGGGCAAGGAGTGGATTTTTAAATAATTCATTCCTTGTGTTCTGTATTATTTAAATATTGTATAAAGCTATACATCTCTTTCACAAATTAAAAATCCACATTTAAATTATAGTGGCCAAAAATATCTTCTGTTGAATTTTTAAACAAAACATAAAACATATGGCAACTACATAAAAATTTACAAAACAGAATTCAAAAGAAGAAAACAAAAGTCATTCATCATGCCATTTGCGGTCCCAGCCACAGTTAATATCTGCTAATCTTGTAAAAGAAGGGATTTCATAAAGACAAGGTCAAATATTTAATAATAGCCCCTTGTATTTTTTCCAATACTTTTAGGTTTGTATTAATTCTATTTAATTATTTAATGGACCAGCGTTTACTCTGAGTTTTGGTATGCAGTAAGAATTTAATATTTTCTGCTGTTTGATGAGTTGCCATACACTGAACAGTCCGTTCTCTGCTGGCTGATGTGAAATGCCACAGAATTAAATCCTCTCAGGTTTGCATACCCTTTCTTATTCCATTTTTGCAGAGACCCAACACACTCAGAAACCCCTAGCATACAGACTCCCCACCAGCTTCTGCTCCAGTGTCCTCTGTCCTGAGTAGCTTTCTTTGTGACCCATTGTCCCTTACTTTTACTTCTGCTGCAGCTCCCAGCTCTGTTCCAGGAGCTTTAAGTCCACACGAATACAGACACCACCTCTAGAACTCATCTTCTTGCCCCTATGCCTGGTCGAGTGTCGGGCACACATAGGCCTTCCAAATATCCTACCTAAGTAGTAAACCTTCCCACCCACCTTCTCCTGCCTCTGTGCCACAGCAGACATTTTACTGGTTTTTAAAACATTAACTAACATTACATTTCATTTCACCATCTGAATTTTGGAGACTGGCAAGCTAGTCATTTTACCTTTTTCTTTTCTTTCTTTCTTTTTTTTAAGATTTTATTTATTCATGAGACAGAGAGATCAGAGACATAGGCAGAGGGAGAACAGGCTCCTCACAAGGATCCCCAGGTAGGACTCAATCCCAGGACCCCAGGATCACGACCTGAGCCAAAGGCAGACACTCAACCACTGAGCCACCCAGGTACCCCCATTTTACCTTTCTCAACAATATTTCCCCTCTAGTTTTAGTCCTATTGTTAAATACATGCAATCCTCATGACACTAAGGCAATAGCCAATCATATATAACCTAGAGAATCCTGCTACCCCGGGGCCGCGGAGCCCTACAAAGGACCAGGCAGACACTGCTTCAGTGTCAGCACGACCTTGCCAAGCCCAGCAGGCTCAGTGACTGGTCTTCATGACCAGCTGATGCAAATCTCCTGGCCCTTAATCTGGGAAGCTCTAGGCAGCTTCCTAGCCAAAGAAACTTACTACAAACTAGAAATGGGCCTACCCACCGCTGGAAGCAATGCTTTGACTTAACGCCTAGTGCCGACCACAGGTTTAGTCCTTCTTGGGAAATCATGCTTGATCAACCAGCAGCACCCTGCCATCCCAAAGAGAAGGCAGGGGACACAGAGACACCAAAGGAAGGCTGCAAGAAGCCAAAGTTCCACAGACACACTTCACTACTGGAGCTAAAGGACACTGTTGACACTGGAGTGATGGTGCCCAACAGAGCATCTACAAACTGGGAACAGATGACAAGATCAGCCTGCCCTACTTTGCATGATGTCACAATATAAGGCCCAACTCCTGAACCTGGGGAAGGAAAGACAATGGGCATTGTGATGGCTGTCTTTATAGGTCTGGGACTATCATGTCCAAGAGGCAATGGATTTGTTCAGTCATTTCCTTAGAGGCTAGAACTAGACCCACTGGGTATGAATTACAGGGAGGTGGACGACAGATCCAAAGAACAGCAAGTTTTCTATCTGGAGTTGCTCAACAACAGAGCAGCCTGCCCAGTGAAGGAGGCAGTTACCTGGCACACATGCACACGTGTTGTACAGAGTACTGAACGTCAAGGATGCTCTGGAGGGATCCTGAACTAAGGGAGGAGCAGACCAGGTGACTGCCAAAGGTTTCTTCTAAGACTATTGGATTCTGGGCCTAAAATTTATTTATTTATTTTTAAAAATATTTTATTTTTTATTTTTTTAATTTTTATTTATTTATGATAGTCACAGAGAGAGAGAGAGAGAGAGAGAGGCAGAGACACAGGCAGAGGGAGAAGCAGGCTCCACGCACCGGGAGCCCGACGTGGGATTCGATCCCGGGTCTCCAGGATCGCGCCCTGGGCCAAAGGCAGGTGCCAAACCGCTGCGCCACCCAGGGATCCCCTAAAGTTTATTTAGATAAGAGTTCCCCTTCAAATGTAAAAATCTTAAAAAGACTGCATTCATCACCTAAAATTTTGAGAAGTATCAACCCACACCCTTACACAGCATTACTGGCTTTTTACAATGTGAATTTAATGATAAAAGATTAAAAGCAAATGTGAAGGGTGCCTGGGTGCCTCAGTCCATTAAGCATCCAACTTTTGATTTCAGCTCAGGTCATGATTTCAGGGCCATGATTTACAGGTCAGCGAGGAGTCTGCTTCTCTCTCTCCCACCATCTCTCCCCTCATTCATGTGCACTCACTCTAATAAATAAATAAAATCTTTAAAAAACATAAAAAACATAAAAATAAGTTATCGTTCAAGATTTATAATTAGACATATATAACTTTTATCTTTATAATAAGCTAGCTAGGTAAGTTAGCTTACCTAGCTACACCAGTGACTGGTGATATGAATGTTAGCCATGATAGCTTATAAAAGCTGATACCGCACATAAAGGGATTCAAGATACACATGTAAAAACTACATTACTGCATCTGAAAACAAACCCTCACAGGGTGCCTGGGTGGCTCAGTCAGTTAAGCGTCTGCCTTCAGTTGAGGTCATGATTCCAGGGCCCTGGGATGGAGCTCCGTGTTGGGTTCCCCGGCTCAGCAGACGGTCTGGTTCTCCCTCTCCCCATTCTCGTGCTCTCTCTTTCTCAAATGAATAAATTAAAAAATCATAAAAAAAGAAACCCCTCTTCTTGAGCAGTATAAAAGCGTGTACTTGGAAACTTCTTGGTATAATTCGAAATTTAATCTCTGAGATGTAGGTTTGAATAAAAAATGGATGCTGATTCAATCAATCCTAGCAGCTGCAGGAGCAGGACAGCCCATGCAGACCTTGGGCAGCTGAGGGCACACATCCTCCAGCCAAGTCCACGGGCGATGGGGGGCGCTGGCCTTCCAGAGTCAGGGAGAGGCCTCCCTCCACTGATGAGGCAGCGTGGCCTGTGCCGTATCTCAAACCCGACCCTAAACCCAAGCTAGCCCTGGACACAGTAGGCATCAGGCCATTTCTGCAGGTCCTGGTGAGAAGCCACTCTTCAGAATTTTTGCTTCGGAAGATAAATCTGTCTGGCAGTTTTCTAGTTGCTTTAGGGAAAGGCAAAGGATAATTTCACATGAAGGAAACAGTTGAACAAGAAGAGAAAGGGGCCTTTGTACTTGGCTGGGGAAACGAGCGCGATGACAGGAAATGATACCAGCATTTTAACACATGCCACACTGAGGAGGGTAAACATGTACCAACCGACCTGAAGTTGTGCATGAACTGCCGGAACTTGTCTACCCGCTTTGCCAGTGGCACGATAACGTTGATGAGTGTGTTGCCCATGTTGAGCTTTTCTTGTTTTACTTTCATGATAGGGCCAAAGGGTCGAAACAAGACAAGTCGCCTGAATTCATGCTTCTGCTCCCCTTTGAACGTAAGCTCATACAGAGTGCCTTTATCCTTCTCTGTGCGGTAGATCCCTGTTGATGAAAACACAAAGGTAGTTTTTAAAATTAACCTTGGCTGCTGAGTATTTTTTTTTTTTACAGCCGAGGTCTAGCCCAAAAGGCCTTTTAAAACATTAAATTAAATCTCTACGTGTAATAAGTATTTGAGAACCCAAAATGCTCCCGCATTAAAAATCCCCAAGAAATCAAAATACCATCAATTCAAAATCATAGTTATGAAGACTTTAGATAAACACTAAAGTTTGTGATGTTGAATACAAAACTATATTTATACCATACAGAGGCAGTCAGAAAATGGACAGTAGAGAAACATGCCAAAGTAACATCGGCTGTGATGTGGAGTTGGGTTGTACAGTTTTTTCTTTTCTGCTATCATCCACACTTCCTGCAATATAATTAAATACTGTAATTATTACATTTATTTAATTGTAAAAGAATGTTAAAGTTATCTGTTAGGAATTATAGCCATTTCAGATAAACTGACCAAAGCAATCTATTTAGAGCACTTCAGAGTGGACCTTTGGAAGCTTCTGGTAGCACTAAAGCTCATGATACATAAAATACCCAGCACAGTGGCAGGTGCACATCTTATTTAATTCCATATTACCCTTCCCACCTCTGAGAAGCAGCACAGCCAGTGCTCCAGAGCCAGACTACTTGGAATGCCTATTTAAGGCCCCCCCAAACTGTGTTCTATGCCACATTACTGGTACTGAAATGTCACAGTTTCACTTGTGAAGTTGAAATTGTGACCCGTCAGCTCTCAGGATGAGCCTCCCAAGGGCCTGATGTGACAGACTTTTTCCAAAGAGGCAAACGATTCCCCACCACCTAGATTCCACTGCCTTCCTGACATCGCTGGTATTGTGGGTGTCAGAAAAGACTCCCATACAAATCCAACCAATCACCAGCTAGGCTCCTTCACCTTTGACCTCTGATTCCCCATGTTTCCTAGTGCAGGTCTCTTCCCTCCTCTTTGCCCAACTCCCAGCTTTAGCTGGAACACCCCTCCTTGGTCTTGGAGGAGCTGCAAAAGTGCATCGCCAGGGCAATAACTGGCTGCACAAGGGTAGTGACAGTTCTCCAGGCCTCTGGCAAGGCACCCCTCCGTTTTCCCTCACTCCCTCTACGTTTGTGGGCACTATAGGTCTTCCTCACAAACGCTGCCAGGTTCTCTGCTCCACTCACTGCTGTGTCAGAGCTTTTCGTCCTTAAGCCTCTCTGATCCTGTTCAAAGTCTGGATCTCCTTCAGGTGCCACAGAGAAGAGTCTGGTACTGCGGGGTTTCAAGGTAGCCTCATCTCTCACGACCATCTGGAGGGCCTGCCTCTGGATTCAAAATCCGCTGGCAGCCAGCACAGTGACCTGAGGGCCCAAGCGCGGTCACCAGCGGGAGCTCTTGACTGAAGACCCCCCTTCAACTCCTTGGGTAACAGGGCATACTGCTCACAGGCCCTCAGAGGCAGGGAAGGTGAGAGAGGTTTTGCAGGGCTCATGCTGGAACAGAATTCAGAGTCCCTGCAGGGCCATTCATGGCAGAAAAGAGGGGGTTCATTTCTCAGGAAGCTCAAAGGACTTCTTTGAAAATGTGAAGTGGTTCCCTTCAAAGTCTGTTCATTCTCTCAGGCAATTAGTACTCACTGAGGAAACAGGCTCTTCCCCACCTCCAACGCTGTCTGCAGCAGCTGGGGAAACCACCAGCTTCCAGGGGTAAAAGGAGGCAGGGAGGGAGGAAGGAGCTGCTCTTGGGAACAGTGTCCACACAGCTCACACGGGCCTACCAGGGGTTGGCAGCAGGGCCTCAAGCTCCTGTTCCCGTGTCAGCCGGTGTACCTTCTCTATAAATGTGGGCAAGGCTGCTGACAGTTTAATGTGCAGATAAAAATGTACGTGGGCTGAAGAGGGTTTTTTAACTAAGTCATTTTCTTTTTCGGCACCAGGATAAGAATCACTAACTTTTAAAAATCAGAATCCACAGATTTGAAAGTGCAGGAAGAGATACATGAAACCATCTGAAGAGATTGGCATCTACTTATAAAGACCCAGAGAATATACTAATTCTTATTACAGGGCTTCTCATGAGCACGTCAGAAGAACCGCAGTGGCGGCGCCCGTGTCCTCAGCCCAGTGTGCCAGGCAGCAGCAGGATCGGTGGCCTCAGGCACAGCCCTGCAAACTGGGAAGGCCAGGGCGCATGGGCTAAGCCCACACGCCACCAGTTCAGCTGCTTTCTCACTGTCTTCCAAGTCCCATGTTTGGAAAAAGTTATTACATCAACTTTTTAACATATTTCCCCATACTCTACCTAATTAAATTAATTATGCCTTATAAATCTCATTTAGATCTCTTAATTCCATTTTAAATAAGTCATATAGAAAAATCTCTTGCAGCCTGTGTCCACTAAAGCCCACACCCAGCCTCCACCCACCACACCCCCAGGCACACCCTCCCACACCTGCACACTCTCAGTCTGCTTGTAACACAAAGGACACCTCAATGGATCGCTGTGCCTCCTGGAGATCTTCAGAGGTGGAAACACTAGGAGGTTGAGAAGGGCAGAAGCATTCTGAGGCAGAAGAAATGGCCTATCAGCTAGCCAATGAGCCGCATGCACCAGCAGGTCAAATGCAAAGCAAACTGGTTTTGCATAGGATAACATCATTTTATGCATTATGCAAATTAAAGATCAAAATAAAAACTTTGGAGCTAGTTGAGATTTGGGGCTAGATACCCTAATTGGCACCCTCTTTTCCCCTCTTTCTCCCCATAGACACTATGTTTACTTTGAGTTTGGTGTTTCCACTTCCTGAGCAAGCATCCTAGTGCTCATCTTCTGCTATTCTAGGGGACCAGGCTGTTCGTGGGATGACCCACTAGGGGGGGACCCCTCCAGGCATCCAAGACATAGCTCCACGGTCTGCTGCTGATGTCTGCTCCTTCAGCAGGTGAGGAACTAAGCAGACATAGGCCCTTCTCGGCATCTTATCATCAACATAGGATCTCAGAAATCAAGAAGCTGGAGGTTAAGGGGGTACCACTCCTTACCCTCACACTCTTACTTACCCTCACTCAGTGAGTGTACACAGGTATGGCCAATGCTGCCTGCTGATCGCAGAAGGGTCTCCACCATCACTGCCTTTCCCACCTTCTCACATGGAGCCTAGGTCAGGTCTCTCAGCAGGATAACTACAATCCTCTGCCAACCCATGTCCCACTCCCAGGGCCCAATCCATCCTGCACATATGGACCTCAGCTTTCCTACAGTACTGTTCTAACCCTGCTTTTCCCTCACTGGCTTCTTGTAGCCTAGAGAATAAAGTATCAAGACCATGGCCAGGCCTTCAAGACCCTCCATACTATGGCCTCAATCTACTGTCCTAATTATAGGTCTTGCCAGAGGCCTCATGAGAAAGATGGGCTCTAGTCGTGCATATACAACTGCTCTTCCTCCTTTGAGAAAGTGGAACCCTCCTGCAATGCTGGTGGGAATGTAAAATGGTACATCCACTATGGAAAAGAGCTTAGCAGTTCTTCAAAAAGTTAAACATAGAGTTAATCACATGATCTAGCAATGCCATTTCTGGATATGTACCCAAAAGAAATAAAAACAGAGACTCGAACAGATCCTTGTACACACGTTCATACCCCCATTGTTTACAATATCAAAAGATGGCAACAACCCAAACCTCCATCAACCGATGACTAGATAAAACATGGTAGATACACACAATGGACTATTACTCAGCCTTAAAAAGGAAGCAGATTCTGACACATGCTACAACATGAATGAATCTCAAAGACGTGCTATGTGAAATAAGCCAGACACAAAAGGACAAATACTCTATGGTTGCATTTATATGAGGTGTCTATACTGTCAAACTCCTAGAGACAGCAAGTAGACTGGTGATGCCAGAATTGGGGTTGGGGGGCAGGGGATGGGGAGTTAGTAATTAATGGGCCCCAAGTTTCAGTCTGACATGATGAAAAAGTTCTAGAAATGTGGGCTGTAATGGTTACACAACAGTGTAAATATGCTTAACGTCATTGAACTGTACACTTAAAAATAGTTAAAATGGCAAATTTTACATTATGTATACTTTACGATAATAGTGGGTCTCCCCTGAAGAGGCCTTGAATTTTCTTAAGACACACTTCCCCACCAGTCTACCTTTTGTCTCTTAAGCTGAACTCCTCCTCTGGGACCCAAAGTGGCCATTAAATCCTCCAGACACCCTGGTCTTCAGAGGCTTTTATTTAAGATTTATTTATTTATTCATGACAGACACAGAGAGAGAGGCAAAGACACAGGCAGAGGGAGAAGCGGGCTCTCTGAAGGGACTCAGTCCCAGGACCCCAGGATCATGGCCTGAGCCAAAGGCAAATGCTCAACCACTGAGCCACCCAGGTGCCCTGGTCTTCAGAGATTTTAAACTTTTCTTTGCTGACCTATTTTTTTCAGTTTCTCAGGACTCTGTAGATCATCTAGTCCAGCCTTGTCATTTGACAAGTGAACAAACAGAGTCTCAGGGCAGTTGTGATCTATCTGCCTGTGCCCACCAGACTTTTTAGTGACTGCCTGGAACATACCCCGCTCTGAGAGGTTACTCCCTAGAAGTCACTTTTCATATGCAACATTAGCAGCTCAAAGCAGGGCAAAGATGCAGAAGCATGAAAAACAGAAGTCAGAATTAACAATATAAAGTTCATTGTAAAAACCACCATTTGGCCACACAGATAATTTTCACATCCACCCTTGGGACTTTTCTTTTATGCTGACTCAACAATTTTAACAGTTATTAAATAACAATCACCTAAATTCATAGTCTACAAGACGTTCAAAGTAGTAAATCTTAAGAGGGAATCTTCATAAAATATATTTTAAACAACAAAAAAAGAGTATATGAGGAAAGAAAATCTAGAACAGGCTGAAATGCTGACAGTAGTGCACAGTGGCGTCCTGACAGGGAGGGAGAGGGAGAGGCCCAACATTATTTGTTTTGAATTTAAATCTC